AAAATGTTATTAGCAAGGGTCTCAAAAAAAACCTCCTTTCCATTTGGCTTGTCAGTATTAACATAAACAAAGTAGCAGCGCAGCCAGCCAGGGCAGAACCAAGAAAGTGCATGCTTTAGTTCTGACAAATAGCACAACATATTTTAGGGCAAAGAAAAAAAAGGAAGTATTTTTCAAATGAAGAGGATCTTCAGTTTACTGAACAGGTGCTCTTTTTGTAATAACATGAGGAAAGGCCCTCTAGTAATCAGCACAATTTGCAGCTGTAAAAATGGAAACAGAAGGGTGGGTTGTACTGCTGGAGGAATACATTATCAATCAAAGCAAGGGCAAATCCAGGACACCTTCTGGGGAAAGACAAGTACAGAGAAAATGCTCCTCCCTCAAGTGTGCCATCTCCTTCACTCATGAAATCTGGTATTAAAATCTTTATTTTTGCATCCATTTCATCTGGATGGAAGATTTAAAGATTGAAGATCAACTCATAGGTAACACTTAGTGCTTAGAAATATGAATTCTGGGGTGTCCATTGCTCAGCCTGTAAAGTACTGGGGAAGGGGCAGGAAATTTATTAAGCACGTTTAAAAATCTATTGAACTAAACCAGTTTCAAAATCTGAAAAGCCTACTTTCACACAGAAAATCTTTGAAGAATCTTTGAGGCTTGTGAGGGAAGGAAAGAAAAGCGATTGCTGGTACTTTGTAACTTAGATATATAACTACATCAGTGATTGAAGAGGCAGTCTGACTTCTTTTGCAGTGCAGCACAGGGAATTCTTAGTTTGATTGTAACTTGAAGGAAACATGAATGCATAGTATAGGAGAATGGTTGGACAGATTTTTATTAGGAGTCAGGAGACAGTGATTTCACTTAGTGAAGAAGGGCAGGAGAGAATAACTCAAACTGTCCTAATAAGAATATTTTACTTATGTATCAAAAGAAGCTACCTCCTTGCTAGTACACGTATCTAAAGGTAGGCACCTACATATTCACCTCTCTGGCATCCCCTTATCCTCCTGGAAGCTAGGAGGGCAAGGAGATGGCTTAGTGAAGTTTGATTGTAAAGAGTAATGGAGGGTAAATATCTATATATGCTGATGAACTGAACCTATTAAGACTGTCCCACAAGGTAAAGAAGAGGGTTGAACTGAGGAAAAGGGAACAGTAACAAGAAGAAAAAGAATATATTGTGTCGGGGTGTTATATTGGTGTCTGGGTTCTTTTTCCCCAGGACTGAGATTGACAAGAGGCAGTTTTCTCATGTTCAGACTTAGTTGTTTATTCTTTCCTTATCTACATTACATATATACAGAGTACAAGCAGCTATATACACTAAGATAGAAAGGTGCAAAATGGAGAATGAAGAACCTCTCCAAGGTCTTTTATGTGTCTATTTGTCCAATAATCAAATGACAAGTAAGTTATTTTTCTTAGTGACCCAATGACCTGACACCTGTGTGCTGCACTGTGGAATTCTTTATCCAATCACTCATTATTGCCCAAAAACCCTTAGAAGAAGAAGAAGATAAAGAAGGAAGAAGGAGAAAGAGACAATGCTCTAAATCCTCCATGCTGTCTCTTGTTCACTAATACAGCTTAAACCCCAAACTCCAGCTTTCTCACCCAGTGACTTAAGAAAACTGTAACTTACACATTCCTACTATTAATTTCTTTGCTTAACTTTATAAGCTGTCTCAATGGTTTTAGACTAAACTCAGTGCTCTCCTGGGTGTCAGAGCCAGGCACCACAGATTGGGCCTATTTTCTGTGCCTCTGACCCAAACAATATTGTACAGTAAATTTAGAACCATGGCCTACGTCTCAGGCATCTAATACACTGCATCCACTCAATATGCAGTCTGCTTCAGGCTGAAAGACTATTGGGCAAAATGTGAAGTAAACAGCAGCTGGACAGAAGGAAAATCATACGCATTAAGGGCCAATAGATCTTTATTGCAGCAATCTCGCACTGTAGTTGGGTACAAAGAACACTGACAGAGTGATCTATACCGTGTATATAACATTATATCATACATATATATTCAAAATTATCAGGACTGGGAAAATGAAATACTGTTTCCAGATTTTTTTTTTTTCAAAAATATTTTTCTCTGAGAAAAACAAGCCAATTATTCTTGCATAATAACACCAAGACGCTAAAATGACACTAAGAAGAATCTTGATCAGCTGTGAGCCACTCAATATATCTTACTATGCCAATGACAGAATCACATAATTTTTTTGATTGGAAAGAAGCTGAAATATTATCCAGTCCATCTGCCTATCATGGGTATGGACACCTTTTAAGTTTGCTTAAAGCTGTGCCAGACCTGACATTGAACACTTTTAGGGTTGGGTCATCTGCAGCTTATCTGGACAATCAGTGTCTGACCACTCTCATAATAAAAAAAATCTTCTTAAAGAATCCTTCCTGCAATCTAAGTCTACTCTTTTTATGCTTAAAACTCTTCTTCTATTCTGTCACTACCGGCTGTGGTCCTCCTGCTTTTTCCTTGTAAGTGCCGTCTAAGTATTGAAAGGATGCAATAAGGTCTGCCTGCATCCTTCTCCTCTCTAGGCTAAGCAACTCTGCATCTCTCTCTGATTTTCTTCAGAGGTGGGACATTCCAGCCATATGATCATTTCTGTAGCTCTCCTCCGGACCTGCTCTAGCAGGTCTATGTCTCTTTCATACCTATCTTAGGACCCCAAAGCTGGATGAAATACTACAGGTGAGTTTTCATGAGAGTAAAGCAGAGGGTGAGAACCACCTCCCTCAAACTGTAAGACACACTTCCTTTTATGCAGACAATTCCTGGGCTACAAGAAGACAATGCCAGCTAATACTCCCAAGTTCTCTGTAGGGCAGTTCTCAATCCATTCTTAACCCAGTTTGCATTGATATAGGGGATTGCATAAGCCCAGTGCAGAGTGTGATGCCTTGAGAAGGCTGACCTAGAAGAGAGGCTAGACAGAGTTAAGAATAAAGTAGGTATCTACTGAAAGGTGTTAAAGGATACACCTTGGGCAGTACAAGAGCTTGGCCAGGACTATACCCAAGATGGACCCAAAGTAGTCACAAAATGGACAACTGGTCACAAGGTCTCATATTTTTTTAAGTTTTGGTCCATCTGCATATTGGAGTTAATTGTCCAATTACATCTTCAGGTTATGAAGTCAAATCCTTCTGGTTTTCTCTCTTCAGCCCACTGTTGTTTATGCTTTTGGGCCTGAAACTTGTACAGATCATTCGTTGGTATCAAGCTGGAAAAGGAATTGTTTTGTCTACCTACTCTGTGAAGAGAGTTTCTGAATACTTAATATGAAGCTCAGAACTACACACCTAGGCAGTCCAGAATCTGAAAATTATGAAAGCTAAAACTTAAGGCATCACTTGTATTTGGTCTTGTTTAAATTCATGGGGTTCACATGGGCACTCCACATGCCTATCAAGGTCCTTCTGCATGGCATTCTGACCTAAAACATGATGACCAATAGCATCACTCAGCTTGGTATCATCCTTAAACTTGTTGAGGGTGCACTCCATCCTGCTGTTGATGTAATTGATAAGGGTAATGAACAGTACTGGTCCTGGTTAGGACCCTTGAAAGATACCACTTACTGGTCATTTCCATTTGCACTTTGAGTCATTGGCTAACTGTGGATGTGGCAATCCAACTAGTTTCTTATCCACATCAAACCTATCTCCCCACAATTAAGAGACAAAAATACTTTGTAGAACACTGTCAAATACCTCACAGATGTCCAGGAAGATGACATCAGTTGCCCTTCTTTTGTCTGGTAATACAGTCAGTCCAACATTTGTGAAGGAGCAGTTTTCCCTTGGTGACACTACATCGCCTGTCCATAATCACTGCCCTACCTGCCTTAAGCTTCAACATCATTTCCAGTATTGTTTTTCCCATGATCTTAGCCATTACTGAAGTGAGGGTGGTGGGTAATTCCCAAAGTCCTTCGTTTTACTTTTTAAAAGAAAAGTGAAACTACCTTTAGTCTCTGGGAAATTCATCAGACTGTCATAACTTTCCTAGTACGATGGAGTGTGGGTTGGCAACTATGAGTATTCCAACCAACAAAATAAACTGCCCATGTTACTTATGAGAGGCTTATCAGTCCTAGCATTAATTTTGGATAGGCAATTAATTAGTCCCAAATAGTGGTCCTGACAATTTTTGTATTTTCTATTGCTACTAACATCTTCTTGGAAGTAATTTCTGGCAGTAACGATGGAAAGATTAGGATTTCTGGCTTGCCTAAAGTGTACCTAATTCACTTTAGATGAACAAACTCTGTCCCAAACAGATGAAGCCAAGTGAGATGGATGATGGGTCTCAGTTCTAATCTGGGCTCCAGAGAGCTTGCAGAAGGGGTTGTTCAGAAGTTCAGGCAGCCCTCATGGGTCTGCAGTGCTCTGAGGATTTGTTTCTGCCTCCTATGCTGCAGTAGACAGAGCCATCATAGTGGTTTCCTTGGAGAGTATGTGGTCCTTCAGCAAGCCTTCTCTGACAGCCAGAAAGCAAATGCCATGCCAGCATGGGAAGGTCTACACCCTCATGATCTGGGAGAGCTTGCTTAGGAAATTATTCTTTACCTGCTTCTTGAACAATTTTTAAGCAGGTGCACCAATTAGTACAATCTTGAACATCTGGAACTGCAATGTAATTGGCAGTGTATAGATCTACTTGTTTTCATGTGGTAAACAGTTTCAGCAGCTCTTTGCTGCAATGCTTAATAGAATATATAATTTTCTAATTTTGACTAAATTTCTTAAAATATCTTTAATAGCTGTATGTGAATCCATACCACAGCTTAGCACAAGTGGTCAGTCACTGTAATAACACGTATCATGAAAAATTCACTTCACATTACAAAGTTGTGTAAAGCTCTATATGACATGCTCTGTCGCCTTTCGGCTTCGTGACCCCAGGCCTGGGGCAGCCAGGAGTGGTGTGGTCAATAACAGGATGGGCACAACTGGGTAACCCAAAAAGTAAAACTGCTTTAATGGCAAAATAACAAACAGCAAAAGGCAAACACACAGTATAGGGTCAACCCCAAAAGGTGCAAAAAACATGAATGCAACAATAAATAGATGGAAATCTGAGGGCAGATATGAAGACAGGGTTCCAATAACAGACTGAGACTAGGAATATTAAAAATAATGCACCAAATTGTTGCCTTCTGTTTTGTTAACTATGTTTGTTTAATCTGTTGGTATGTTCCTGTTATTCCCCCTATGGTTATATAATGGTTTTACCCTGTTGTCAACTTTGTAAACCCCTCCCTTTATTCCTGAACCTTCCCTATCAGCCATCCCTATATGGCCCCCTTTTCTTGCCCATCATTGTAAACCCTACCCTTTTTCCAGTACCTTCCATGCCTTTCATCCCCTGTTCAATACGTGATTGGTTTTGTAATTGCCGCCCCACACACGTATTTTTCCCATTGGTCCCAAGCTCTGTAAACCCCTCCTTTGACTCCTCCCAAAGTGCTCCCTGATTGGTTCCTGAGTTGCACCCTCTCCATGGTTAAATCCCAACGCACGGAGGTGCTCGGGGCCCAGTTGTTCTCCTGTTTCGTTGTCCCAGTCCTTTCCCTGGTCACCGCTCCCTTCTCCTCTAATAAACCTGGTTCCTGGGAAGCAAAAGAGACTCTGAGCCTCCTCCATCCCTCCACCGAGACCCGCGACGCCTGAGACCCGCAGGGCCTGAGTGCTGAAGGCTCTGAAGGTTCGGTATTGGGAAAATCACTCCCATACCGTTCCCCACTCTTGGCGCTGCCATCAGCCGAGTGGTGAAGAGCTAGCCTGGGCCTGAAAGGCCGCGGGGTGCAGCGTCACCAAATGACAACCAATCAGAGGAGAGAACTGAGAGCACTCTGGATGCACAACCTTAAATGAACAGGTTTGCTATCATCCCACGGTCTTAAATTGATGCCTAACTACTCATATCCACATATCCCACTCCTCTGTTGAAAAATTAAAATTGCTTGTAATGACTTCCAGACAGTCCCCAATAAACAAGTCATTAAACGAGGTAACATTAACAACAACAATATCTACAATAACAAGCAAAACTATAATGATAGCAACCAACCCAACAAACCCCACTTTTTAAAAAGTCCACTCAACTAGTGGACTTCAACTTGTAACTTCTTCACTCCTTCCTTCAGTACTTGAATGCTCTGATGTATTGACTGACTGTGTTCAGTAGCAGCACATGCAATTGAAGCCGTGTAATCTTTAACCATTTGGTTGAGGTAGCAGCAGGAAAGGGGTGACCACTGGCAGACAAAGGGTCTCCTGCTTCATGATGTTTGCCAGCATCACCCAAATGTTCTACTTCCAGCAGCGGACTATCAACCATCAGTGAGCAGCAGGATCTTGAATATTCCAAGTACTGTAAAAAGGAGTCCCTTAAATGCCATGTCCTGGAAAATAATCTTCAAAACAAAGCTGCATAACAAAAGGCAAACATTTCAGATATGTTGTCTGCAGACCTTCTTTCAGCCACTTCCATCTCCGGTTCTTCTGGGATTCTTCTTGTGGCTGTTCACAGTGTGGCTGCAGGCAGGTCAGGCTTTACGTTTTTGTCTGTGGGCCTCTACTTGTGGAAACATAAGCATATCTCTTCCCCCAGGAAATTAACAGACAACTATTGAGGGGTTAGGCTCCATAAATGAACTCTTAAAAAAATTAAGAACACATGCACCCCAACTGAGCCACTCTGCAGTGGACAAGAGAAATTCCCCCCCCCTCTGTTTCCTCAAAAATAGAACAATCATCAGCATGAAACTGAACAAAATAAACATTAACACCAACATAATACAAATGTCCGCTTCCCATGGCCCAAGATTAAAATTATCCTCATAGGCCAGTGAGGCATTCCCAACCAAACTCATCTCCTCATCTTTTTCTCTCTTCTGGACCAGAAAAAATGAACATAAAGAATTCCTAAAAACTTAAACATACAACTTGACAAACATGGTAACACAGTTAACATAACAACAACAAAAGAAAAGGTGAAGTTAATTTTCTTATTTTCTATGATTTATAGTTTTTGGGGCTCAATATAAGGCTATCCTTGCAGACTGACATTAATTGCAGGGACATATGGCACAACACAAGGATTTAGAAGTGTATGCCTTGGGTTTTACTCTGCATGGTATACTTTTCCTTTGAACAATTTATGAATAATCATAAGTTGAAGGTGACAAAACTAAGTGTTACATTGTCATTATCTAGGGTTATGACAAAGTAGGTCCAGTCAGAAAGTATCAGTATACTCAGTTGTAAAAACCTAACATTAAAAGCCAGAAATAAATATGAAAGGTATTTATGCAAACCTGTGTGTCAGTTGTGGTCAACTGTGGTGACATCACGCAGATGGATACATGTACAAAGCCATGAGACAGAAGATACAAGTTCAGATTTGGCTAATTATAACTAATAGATTATGAGTGCCCCACATATAACATACACCGTTAAGTAAAGTGAAACACCTTGAGACAATTATAAGTTTTTTGAGAATTATAGCTTATGCTTTGTTTATGTACAGTGACTATTTATTTAATTAGCACTCCCAAAAGGCAGATTTGGATATCAGAAAAATGCATTAGATTATTATCAATCAGTTTGCTTCTTTGGTTTTGGTGGTAATTTTATGCTGTCTAATGGCATCACCTGAGATTATCTGGGCATGAGAATATCCCAAACTGTAGTCTGTGATAAATTCTCAGGAAGTGGTCTTTAAATTCTCATAGTAAGAAACTTCGTTAAAAATGTCCTTACGTTTAGGTTGCTGTTCTGAATAATACACCAACAATAGTTATATAAATCTTTGAGCTATAAAAAAGATTGAGGAAAGAGATTATTGTAAATCCAAAAATAAATCCTTATAAAGGTTTTGCAAATTATTCAGTTTCCTCATTTCAGACAATGTACTTCAGCCTTGCTAACTGTTCATAAGATACTAGCAAGCAGTTAACAACTCTGAAAGCTATGCTCTACCAAGAAGCAGCTTGTCATATATATATACAGCAATGACATAAACTATTTGAAGTCAAAACAAAGTGAAGACATAAAAATAAAGAGACACTAGGTATCAATGAATTGAAAGAATTCTATACAGAAAATGTCGTATACTAATAAAAAGGTCCACTTCTGGTTTTGAGTGAAATTTCTCCCAACACTGGAAAACTTCAGGTCATTTCCATGCAGTGCAGCCACATAAAGAAAAGTGAAAAGTCCAGGAGAGATGGTATTAACTCTACAAAGCAAACCTTCATTATAGTTGTAGATCTGGGTAAGCATGCGGCAGTCCTGAATGGCTCCACGGTTCCGTCAGGCTCCAGCGCCAGACGGTGGTTTCCAGGCAACGGAGTTGTTCCGAGTTGGGCTCCGAGTTTGAGTTGCGGCGGCAGCGCGGCCCCGCTCCGCTCTATCCAAAGGGGCCTGGCTCTGCTGTGGGCCGCCCCCGCTGCTGTCGGGAGCTGTCAGAGGGCCGCCCGACCCTGGGGGCCACGGCAGCGGCGCCGGTCGGGGCGGAGAGCCCGGACACAGCGCTCGTTCGCCGAGGGCAGAACGCCCCACGGCTGCGAAGCT